TGCCTCACGCTTGCCTTCCCTCCTTGCAGAGCTCCTACCCGATCTGGGAAGATTTCAACTCCAAGGCAACCAAGCTGCATTCTCAGCTCAGGTGAGTGGCCCAAAGCCCATGCAAGGAGGGTGATCCCTGGCCTCGCTGGGCTGCGGGGCGTCCCTGAGCAGCCTCGATCCACCTTCATCTCCTAATGAGGACGGCGCTGAGCCGGGGGAGCCTGCCTGGATGCGGCCCCTGCCTCGGTGTTTGCTCTAGGAGGGGAAACTGAGGCAGAGCCATGATCTGGCTGGGCTCGCACAGCCCATCGGTGCCCTGCCCCTCCATGGTGGCCACTCGGGTGCTCCTCCGGGCACCCTGCTGCACCTACCTCCCCGCTGGGTCTCTGGTCTCGCCTTGTCTTGTGTCCCCCCAGGGTTCCCCCTTTCCACGGGCATGGCCCAGACCTGGGGGGGGGCCCAAACCCTGCTCATTTTCAGACTGCCCATGTGCCTGCTCTGTGGCCAGCTGAGCTCTGTCCCTCTCTTCCCGCCCCAGGACTACGGTGCTGGCTGCAGTCGCCTTCCTGGATGCCTTCCAGAAAGTGGCCGACATGGCCACCAACACCCGAGGTAGGTCCCAGACGGAAACCCCCACAGGCCACAGGCTTGCTGGTCTCATCGCCTATCGCGTGGGTCGCGAGTGTCTCCTGCGCGGGGCTGTCCCCTGCCGTGGCCAAGGGGCATCAGGGCTGGTGCATCTCGTGCCGCAGCTTTGCCGTAGTCACGAGCGCCCAAGCGGCTCAGCAAGGTGAGCTCACGGTTTCACAGTGAGGAACCGCGTCCCTGCGTGTTGGGCGCGGGCTGGGTGCCCCAGGCAGGGCGTCTGGGTCCCCATCCTGGCTTTGCCCCTCGAGGCACTCTGTGGCCTCAGCTTGCCCAGGAACCGGGGCTGGGCTCCCCCCGCTCCCTCCCAACACAAGTTGCTTTAGCAATTTTGGCGTTAGCGCTGGAGACGCAAACAGGGCTGAACTTGCGTTTGCCTCTGTGCCCACCATGCCCCCCCCCCCCCGAGGTGGAGCATCCCCTTGCGAGCTCTGCAGGCATTAAGGGAAGCCATATGCAGATGTGCAGCATGATTACAGGAGATTGGCGTGCGGGAACTCAGGGAGCGAGCAAAGCAGGATTGTGGTTGGGAAAAGAGGTCAGCTGCAGCTGAGGCTGGGGAGTGGGGACGGGGGGAAATTGGGGAGGGCACCCCTGGGCACCGGGCGCACCATCTGGGACACCTGTGTGGGTGCTGGTTCTCGCTGCCCCAGGGCTCTTCCCCCCCGGCTTAGCCACCTGGGGCCAGGTTGGGTGGTGGGCAGGAGCTTTGAGGTGACACGAGCCTGCCGCGGGCCACCGTTGGCTGCTGCACCTCTTTCTGCTCATCTTCTTGCCCCGAGCAGGCATAAGGATGGGGTGGCCCTGGAAGCGACCCTGCTTTTCCTTTCCAAGTCCCCAGCGTGTCCTGACAAATTGCATCCTTGGCAATTTGGCCTGGGCAGGTGTCAGGCTGAGCTTTCCTCCCGTAGCTCCTCGGCCCTCCTCGCCCGCTCGGTTGCTCCTGCCTGCGCAGAGCTGTCGGGATTTGCTCCGCTGGCTGCCGCTTGGCCAGCGAACCCGCTTTGGAGACAGCGGCGC